GATAATTGAAAGAAAGAACGAGTATCTTCTTGAGATATCCTACTCAATTATGATTTCTCATGAAGTTCTAAAATTATTTTGGGGAGAAACAATTTTGACTACAACACACATTATCAATGGAATGCCTAGCCGAGTACTTAATTTCAAAACACAATTTCATCTCTTGATGGATATATACCCCACATCAAAGCTTTATTTTCTAGTATACCACTTAAAATGTTTGGGTATGTATCTCCAAATCAAACAAAACTCTATCCTAAATCCATCAAATATATTTTTTCTTTGGTATGCCTTCAACAAAAAGGGATATAAGTGCTACCCCCCTCTTAACATAAAATATTATAACATTATAACTCCATGGATGTCACATTTTTTTTTTTTCCACCGTCCCAATTCTAATGATCAGGGGCATAGTACAAACGAACATCAATTTTGGGATGCATTTAGTGGCACATACAACCTCACAACCGGTCCCTCCCGTCTACTCCCAAACACCACTGCAAGAAAATATCCTACTTAAGGATGTCCAAACCTGAAGTTCATAACAATGAACTTTGTGTATAAACAAAGATTAAGAAAAATCTTAAGCACGCGAAAGACAACTTGCAAAGACGGAACTATCAAGCCAAAAATCGAGCCCGCACTCACCAGGAATTTTAGGTGAGGAAGAGTCTAAAACTTACGAGTTATCTTCTTTCTCTTATGGTGCTAATGACAAACAAGGTTGTATTAAATATCTGATTCAGGAGTATGTATCTTATGAGAAAGTATCCTCATAATATAAAATTTTGTATCTACTCTTTGATGATATGCAGATTTCTAAATTCATTTATGAAACTCTTAAAAAATCAGGATGAAGGACAATAGATGAATAGGAGATTCAATCACTAAAGCATAGTATCACACAGACTCTTATTAAAATTCATTAAGATAAAAGGTCAATTGGATGCAAATGTGTAATCAACATCAAGTACAGAGTTGATATTGATATTGAGAGATTCAAAGCTAGACTCATAAAAAGTTTCACTTAAACCTATGAGATTGCTATTAGGAGACCTTTACACTAGTTGTCAAACTGAATATTATCAGAGTTCTCCTCTCAAGAGCAATTAATAAGAAATGGGGGCTGCATCAACTTGACATAAAAAAATGTCTTCCTGAATGGGACCTTAAAGAAGAAGTGTGCATGAAAAAACCACCAAGACTAGAAAATAATTCCAACAAACACCAAGTATGCAAATTCAGGACATCACTCTATTGTCTCAAGCAGTCACCGGAGGCGTGATTTGAAAGACTTGCTAAAACTATGAGATCCAATAAAAATTCTCAATGCCAAGTTGAGCATACACTGTTCATAAAACTCACTTGGTGAGATGAAATTATTGCACTAATAGTATATGTTGATAATATGATTCTTACTAATGATGATGATGAAAAAGATTCTTAAATCAAAAAAGTACTTACCACTAAGTTTGATATCAAAGACTTAAAAACCATGAGATATTTCCTAAGTTTAGAGGTAGCAAGGTCTAAGAAAAGCATTGCAAAAGCATTGCTATATCACAAAGAATATACATACTAAATTTGCTAAGACGACAGTGATGATTGGATACAAATCTATCCATACTCCAATTAATCCCAACAAGTTAATAGAGAAGAAGAAAGTATATTTGTGGATATAAGAAAATATCAAAGATTGATAGGAAAACTCATATACATGTCACATAGTAGGTCAGATATTTCATGTCATACCAGCATTGTGAGCCAACATACAAATAAGCCAAATGAAAAGCATTTGGAGATGGAGTACAAAATCTTGAAATTTCTTAAGAAGACTTTTGGTTATGGACCATTTGAGAGAACCAGAAACAGAGAGGTAGAAGGCAGCACTAATATAAGGTGGGTGGGGGAACTCACTAATAGAAGGCCAATCACAAGTTATTGCTCTTATGTGTGAAACAATTTGATCACATGGAGAAGCAAGAAGCAAGTTTTTGTCTCTAAAAGCATTACAGAATTAGGGTACAGGGCACTTGCCTTAAGAATCTGTGAAGGGATTTGGATTAAAAAATTATTGAGGAAATTGGGGTGCACCTTTGATAGGCAAATACAAATGTTTTGTGATAGTCAAATAGCTATCAGTATTGTCAAAAAATTTGTGCATCATGAAATGACAATATATTGAAATTGATACACTTTATCTCTAAAAAAAGTTAGTTGTGGAATAATACAGCTAAAACTACATCCCAACACACGAACAAGTTGATGTCTTAAAAAAAACTCTTCCGTTAAGCAATTTCTCAAAATATAATACCAAGCTTGGTTTCTAAAACATCTAAAACGAAGCTTGAGGGGAGTAGAAATATAGGAGAATTGGCCTCATTGAAAACAATTTAGAAATCTCTTTGATTAGTTTTATTTTCTTCCTACTTATATTTATTTCAGAGTTATTTCCTTTCCATGTTTAGGCTATGTATACTTGGTAAGATTGTAAATTAGGAGGGACGGATTTCCATATATATATATTTATTTATTTATTTTTATTTTTATTTTTTTTTTTTGAAAAGCACAAGGGCTGATTTTATTGAAATAGAAAGGATACATAAAAGGTTATATGAGAGGGCCTAAAAGAGGCACCCTACCCATACGATACCAAGTACAGTAATAACCCAACAAAAAGATATAAAAAAGAAATAAAATGTAAAACAAATTTAAAACATGCAGAAAACAAGTAGCTAGGGACGCGCCAGTTTAGTCTTGCCTCTTCCTCTAGTTTTAGGAGCGGAGTCAGATAACAAACTTTGAAGAGTCGTGTCATTGCCAAGAGTAATCAAAGTATCATCCATTAAGTTTCCAAGTTTGAGTGTGCCCCCAACCTTCTTCCGTAGAGAAGTGTAAACCTTTCATTCTTCATCTGAAGACAGGCTCATGCGATCATCGATCTGATTAGATATTAGAACCGCAGTAAAAGGAAAGACAGTTGTTGTCACTGCGATAGGTTCCAATGTATATAAAGTGTGAATAGTTACCTCTGTACCTAATGATTCATGAATAAGAGCTGTGGGGCTATCCTGATTTTCGGTTCGAACATTATTAGTTGTAGTATGGTCAGGAGAAGGGATCCGAGGGGCAGACACACTCCTGATTCCCTCCTCAAGTTGGTTGTCATCAGGTTTGTTGGGAGCACGTTCAGGCACTTGGAGTGCACTAAAATGCATTAACAGCATGTTCCTGCTTTTGACTAATGGTTCTCAACTCTGGGTGCAATCTGAAACATTTCTCATGTGGGTGTCCAAACATCTTGCAGTGCTTGCAGTAGTAAGGTTTTGTTCTATAATGATTTTTTGTCAATAACCCTTGTGAGCATATCCAACTAGACTTCTTCTACATCAGGTAGTGTAATATCTCTTTCAATCAAAATATTTGCAATAGAGGGTCTTGATAAATGAACTGTAGGTAAGTCTGTCTGCAAAGGTTTCCAATGATAGTCCCAATTGCATATAAGATAGGTGGGTCAAAGAATTGAAGTTTTAGTTCAGGTAATGAGAACCAGATAAGTGCAATTGGAGGTTCTTGACTGGGATCAAAATTAGGGGTCCATTTGAGCAATTTCATATGTTTGCCCTTGATTGCGATGAATTTCTTTGAGAAAATCCTCATGTAATCTTCTTCTATGCTCAGCTGTATCATAACATACCTTCCGTCGAAATGACTTGCCTGCCAATCCCCAATCAGTTTAAAATCTTTAAAAACCTTCCTGATAATCTCTATCTTATAGCAACCTAATTGGAACTTTCCAAATAGTATAAATTTGTATTTTCCTGCACTAGTTGAAATTTCAGCGTCGGAGAAAAAAATTGTTGGTTGGTCTGCCTTTTTCTCTACTTTTTTTATGAAATTGCAATCGTCATTTCCTGCAACAGAATCATGGTACATTTGAGGAAATATCGGACTATCTACGAGATGGAAAGAGAAGTTGTATTTGTGAAGCATTGTAGCATATGAGGGTTTGGCGGGATTATCATCAGCGACGGTGGCAGTGTAGTAAAACCCTGTGGCCATTAGCGTGCTTCACACAAGCACCGCAGCAAATGGCGCAACTGGTACGCGAGCAGTCAAGCTGAAACAACGGAGCAGTCAAGTAGGCTTGAGGAACCTACAGCGCGAAGCGCCGCAGAAGCGAGCCGTAGAAGACGCGATAGAAGAGAGCAGAAGACGGGATAGAAGAGAGCAGACGACGCAACATGCGAGCAGATTCGATGACGCGAACTCCTCCGCCAGCCAGAGTCGAAGATAAAGACAGAAAGAATCGAAACGACCGAGAGAAACATACGTCTGTTTCAAGCTAGGGTTCGCCATGAACGGAAACCCTAGCCAAGAAATTGAACGTAAAGCAAGAGAGTGAGTGAAAGATAGAAAGAGAGAGAGAGAGAGAGAGAGAGAGAGTAAAGTGTAAACTTCATCCAGAAACTAACTCGACTTGATATTGTTTGATCAAATATCTAACGAGAAAGATGTATCCAGAAAAATAAACTAAGAATAGCAGTACCCACAATCTTAAAATCTTCAAAACAGTCCTCCAGTTGGTATCAATACCAACAAAAAAGGCTAAAGAAGCCCAATAGTGTAAGCAAGAAGCTTAAGCAATCTAAAATTCTAGGCACCCCTCATGATCCAAACCTCAAATATCACATCCTTTCTTGAGGCTTACCTCTCTCTCTCTCTATATATATATCACATCTCACGCACACTACCAGCCTCACTTGTTTCACTCTTCTTCATCACAGAAAGTGAAAATTTTCTAACTAAATTTTATCCAAAATTGACTAATGGTGCACATCCATGGTTCGCATCGCCTCATATCTAACTGTTATCATCACAAAAAAACACCTAAGTGCCGTTTAAGTGCTTCATAGCATAGCAATATTTGAATTGTATCATAAATTCCAACCAGACTAAGAATGCCTAATGAAAAACACGATGAACACACAACACCAACAGACAACCCAATTACAAGTTTAACTTAACAAGGAACCAACTATAAGAACAAAGTAAAACTAAACAGTCAAGTATTCTCAAATCCTCATCCTCATCCAAATAGAAATATTCTACGTCTAAAATGCACCAAATTCCAACAAAATAAACCATAGAACATAATCCAAACCAAAGCACATACAGAAGTAGAGGAAGCACCTGGATGATTATACTCAGCGATCAACTTTGCGGCGAAGCTTTTGCCACTCCGCTTGGTGCCGCCTGAGACGACGGAGGCGCTTCATAAGTCCCCTGTGCAGCATCGCTCGAATACGACGTCTGCGCATAAGGACCAGCATAATAATCATTATATGATTGCTGCTGCTGAACATAAGACTGACCGTAGCCCGCAGGTTGAGCAAATCCAGATGCTGGTGCAGCCTGAGGATATGCCTGAGCAGGCTGGCCATAAATTTGTGTAGTCTGCGCAGGTGCAGGCTGGGAATAGCCCTGAGGAGGCTGGCCATAAGTTTGTGTAGTCTGAGCATAACCAGCCTGAGCTACAGATGGTTTCTGCCCCTGAGGAGACTGTTGTCCATATCCAGGTTGGCCTGGCGAAGCTCCCTGCAAGTATGCTGGCTGGGTAGCCGGTTGGCTTCCATATCCTGGTTGCGAAGGAGGCATGCCATACCCAGGCTGTAGGGTTTGTTGAGTAGAACCATCTTGAGCAGATCCAGATACATAGCCTTGCTGAGCAAATCCTGTCTGGGTGGCTGAAACAGGCTGAGCGTATCCAGCCTGAGGTCCATAGCCTTGCTGATGCCCAGAAGTAGAATGGGAATAGTTTGAATCACCGTAAGATCCTGGGGCAGCATAAGTGGGAGGCATCTGGCCATAGTTGTAGATGTTGCTGTCTGTGGAAACAGAAGATTCACCAATAGGCGGTGGCGGAGGCAGCTGCTGCTGCTGTTGTGGCTGTTGCTGACTATAGTAATCATATCCAGTTACTTGTGATGTTTGCTGGGCTGGTGGATTAGATGATTGATCCCAGCCAGTTGAAGTTGGGGGGAGATAACCAGCATAAGGTGGCTGAGGCATGTTATACTGTGGGGGTTGACCAGGATATGCTCCAGATTGCATGTATCCGTAGCCCGGTTGCTGCATGGGTGGCCCTCCGGGTGGAGCCCAGCTTGTTGGAGGTCTAGGAGGACGGTAACCAGAAGTTTGTGGATTCCTCATGCGATTCTGCAAAGTCAGTTTCATTTTATAAACCAAATGGAGGTATTTAAAGTATATGATAGGAAATAAAGAGGGGTGTTACTGTATAGATGGAATAAAGAGGTAGTATTGGATGAATACAGGACTGGAATAATAATGAAATATGCAACAGAAGAATCTTATAAGATATTACAGTTCCAAACTTCAGACATGTTAAGCATCCAATCAGGGAAAGAGGAAAAAACCCAAAGAGAAAAAAACCCACTTACCACATTAGATGATAACTCCCAAGCAACAGCTGATGCCATCCTCTCCGAAGTCCTAAATTATGTGGACTAGGGGGAAAAAATACACAAGCCTAACAAACATATCTAGCAGAAACAATATATTGCAACAAGCAAAATCAAAATTTATGAATTCTCCATTAAAATCATATCACAAATATCTTTATCGGACACCTGATTACTTGAAGAGTTCAATATAAACCTCAAGAGCAGTATCATCTAACAATGGAAGGAAACGGAACATAAAAGCAATGAAGAAAAAAATAATAAAATGCAACAATTAAATTTTGAATCTCAGTATAGGACAAATAAAGAGGTAGGATGGTATACATAAGATATCAGAAATGAGTAATTAACAATTTTTAATCCACTACTAAATATCATCCAATTAAAAGTTCAGCTTGGGCTGTTTTCTTAAAGTTCACCTGCATGAGTCAAAATCAAGAAAATTACAATTACAAAAACTAAGAAGAAAGAGGGTATATCATAAGTAATCCGCTTAATCTCGCCCTCCATGCAATGTTCCCAGCTGCAGGAGGTGGGAGAATGTTGCAAAATATTTAAGGGCACCACTGGCTTGAAAGGATGTTAATAATATCTGTAAGAATAACATACAAAAATAGAATCCAGAAATACATTTGCTCATTACTCAAACTAAAACGTATTAAGAGGAACAATTAGTTTAAACGGACTTCGTATAAACAACAAAAGCCAAATAGGTATTTTAAAAATATAACAAGGTAGTCTGTCAACGGAGACAAATATAAGCAAAATTTGCTATTATTTATATTTCACCAAACAAAAATATTAAAAAGATGACAAGAAACCATAAACCAGATAGCAACAGCAGGAAAAACAAAAGCACAAAAAATAATAAAAAGACGTATGCATTTATGATAAGAAAAAATGTTAAGGTCTATAAACAAAATATGTGCGAGTTATTTTTGAAATGACTAATTTAGAGGTAATATATGAATTCTACTATAATGAAAATTGATTCCGCAAATCCTTGCTACTTGTACTGACAAATGCACTGCAAATCTTCAGGAAGCTATTTTTGAATCTAAACGAAGTAATTGCCAGTCAAATGCATCTTATACTATTTTCATGGGGTTAATGCCATGACAAAAAGTTTGACTTCAACTTGAATATGTAAATAAAAGTATTACAATAAGATCCAGAAGCTAGATAGTAAAATAAATCAGAAATTCCAAATCAATTGCAGAGCAAATACAGCATAGCCAAAGAACTCGATGAAATAAATGTCCTCACAGATTAACCCCATCATATCACCACAAAAATTATGGACCTTCTAAGGGATACAATAAAATGTAACCAAAGAATAAGAAATATGGGAAAAATTTTAGGGGGAATTTACATTCATACCACACAATTATTATGTCGTTACGTATCTCACACCTTTTCATACATAGGTTTAAAACGTTAATGTATTATAAGTGTAAATATCAAATTTTGGGTGTTAGGTATGTAGATACCTCAGAAATGAGTGGTTCGTATGTAAATTCTCCTAAAATTTATCATAGAAAGGTGAAGTTCCTATTCTATCATGGCTTTGTGCATACAAACCTAAAATACTCGACAATAATTCCAATTGCATCAACAAGTAATTGGACAAGTTTCACTTGATTGCAAGGGAATAAGAATAGATAAATAGAAAATTATTTCCTAAGAAAAAGGTAGCTCAAAATGTATGCATATCTTCTAACTCAGATCACTTCTGCAGTATTCCTTCAATAAATTGCAGGTTCAAGATCATACCAGTGCCAAAAAATATAGGACAAAGGAATGCCTATAACTTTGCTCCATGTTGGGTTTCACCAACACAAGCGCTCCCTACAACATTTCTCAGAAAATGAATATAAGCTCAAAATGTAACAGTTATTGCATCATAATAAATCCTCTAATTATCATCTCATATATCCATTCAAGAAATCCTAAATGAACCAACCAAAATAACATTACATCCTGGAATTCTACGCCTGATAGGAAAAAATGGAACTTCTAAAATGTTGGTAATTTTGAGATTATTATATTGCTTTTACACAGAATCTAAAAGATGATCTTTCCAGAATTAAGGCATTAGAAATAAACTTCCAAAAAATATTTAAATTTAAAGAAAATCCATATATGTCCCATGCAAGATTTAAATTATGTTCTTCAAAGAGGCAGAGTAATCAAAAAGTATGACAATAAATCGAAGTTAAAATGTCTAAGTCACTTCTTTGAAAATATTAATTGTGCATCATCATAGCCAAGAAATATAAAATAATCATGATTGCAACATATTCAAGTTTCCAAAAATAATCACAATAATACTCGTTTTGAAACTGAAATTAAATCAATAATTTAAGAAATTAATCATCCAAGTTCTAAGAAGAAACTTGGGCCTAAATTTGGCCTGAATAGAAAAGCTTTTTTATTTATAGCACTTCTAATCAAGAAATTTCCTATTGTCATGATATAAACGTAATGAAAAAATAAAAACAAAGTTAAAGATGAAAAGACAGAAGCATGCAATGCACAAACACATTTAACACATGTATCCAACAAAACTGTTATAACAATATATTACTCATTTAGCCCAATATCAAATTTATCCAAAACTCAGAATCTGGAACCATTCGACAATTCTAAGAAAATAGTTGACCACATAGGCATCCATGGGATGGTCATAAGCACGAAAGATGACATCTTTGGTTGTAAAAGGGACCAAACAATTTTATCAGTAACAAAGGTGGTGAAGTCCATTTCAATGGGGAGAAGTAGCAAACATTAGTTCCCCAAACTTATGATGAATTAATTCACTTCTTCACTCCAAAGTCATAAGTGTTAGTGAATATTCACAATTCTTCTATTTTAGTCAACAATATGATTCATTTCCAAGGAAAATAAACACAAAAAAAAAATAATGGAAGTGAAAATAAATCAAAAAATAAAAAATAAAATCAAAGGAAAAAAAAATTCTTCGTTAATTTAACATGAGATTGTAGTAAAATATATTAACAAACACAAAATTTTACAACCTCAAAATGTTGCAGGTTAATAGTCCAATTGACATAAACAAGACATAATGATTTACAAATCCCATTAAAAGAGATATGCAAATGTTACATGAAACGCTGAGTGAAGAAATGCTTAAAACAACAAACATAAGATAGAATGATCATGTAAAAAATAATCAACAAAAGCGTTCTAAGCAGTCAGAGGAAGAGAGAAAATAGGATGTGAAATTTGGTTCAGTCCTAAGCTATTTAATAAATTATTAAATTTATTAAACAACAATATAAAAGGATTCTTCAAAGAAAATATCACAACATAAAAAGTCATTAATGAGAAAGAATTCAAAGTGATTAACTGAATTCAACTCATCCAATTACCATTAAAAAAAATACAAATTAATACCAAAAGAAACTGCTAATTCCAGTAACAAACCAATTTTGGGCCTTCCCCATACCTCACTCATAGCATCAGTAAGTAATTGTTTTGCTAATTCAATCTGCTCATTTGTGCCATCTATATGTACAGTTCGTTCCATTGTTGGATCACCTGGCCGCAGATGTAATGGTATCACCTGTACAAAATTGAGTCTTGCTTGTTCAAAATGATGAACAACGTGGAAAAAAATAATGAAAAATATGAAAAAACACCAACATTGGCTAATCATAAAGTTTTCAACTGCATCCAGATAAAGAGAAGATATGATTATCATCAATTCTTAAAAGCCTGTGCAGCTGTGGCGGGGAAGCGGAACTAAGAACCTGCAAAGGCATTCTCAATTATATAGACTCCAGAAAACCTAAATTTGATTTAACGACATTAAAACATAGCATCCATCGACGTGTAGATGATTGATTTTCCCCCTTGTACAGCAGAATTGGAGCCTAAATTTTCTTTGTTTTTCTTCATGTTCATATATTTAATTAAGATTTTATAAACTTCGTTTCTAATACATCCAAGTCCATCCAAACCATCAGATTTCCTAATCTCTCACTTTGCCATTTCACAAAATTTGAATTTTTCCTTCTTTGCTACTCGCCTCTTACATGAATCATCAAAAAACAATAAAATTCCATATACTTGCTATCCTCTTTCTAAACATTTTCCCGTTCATAATCATCAAGCCTTGGCAAATATTAACCATTTCCAGCTACCAGCATCCAGAAATTAATGAAACCATAAACAGAAGCATCAAAATATAGTCCTTGTTGAGGTGAGCGAAGAGAGGTACCAACTCGAGAATGAGTTTGTGCGTTCACTGGAGCGAACTTGAATGAAACCTCAAGGCACTCCATTCCGCCGCGCTCGCCTCATCGGCATAGAAGGGGCTTCCCCTCCGCAGCAGTGCCAAGGTTTTGATCCTTGTCAGAATGAAGTCACGACACAGCCATAATCCATCAATCCCTTCCACCGATTCCCAGATGTAAAGCCTGTCTTCTTCAGTCTACAAAGATTTTGAGACGCAAATCGATCGGAACAGGAGAGGGAAGAGAAGGGAAGAGAAGCGGATAGAGTAGAAGCGGATCGAGTGAGGGTGATGACGAACAGTAGGGGAGAGGACATCGCCGCTGCTATCTGAAATCGCCGAATGCGTATTCGATGGCTCGCTGTGGAAACAAGGCGTCGTCGTCTTACATGGTGAGGGCAAGGATTTGTTTTGGATGGTGGAATGCGAAGAAGAGGGCGCGGAGGTAAAAAGGAAGGCGAAGCTGGGGCACGAGTCAGTGGGCGCTTTTCGCGTTCGAGGAATATCGCAACATGCCGCAGTGACAACGCCTCTTCAAACGATCGAAAAATGCAGGGCTGCGCCGCGGAGCGGTCCTGTCGCCGCCCCAAACAGAGCCTTAGATAGGTGCGGCTTAAAAAAGTTGTTTTTAGCATTTTGAAAACGCATAAAATGCCAAAAGGCAGTTTACCCAAACAGGCGTGGTACGTTTTCAAAACACCACTGCACCAAATAAGCTGCCCCAAACGGACCCTTAATTTGAGCTTCTTTAATGAGAAACAGAGGCATGAGCAAAACCAAGCCTTTTGGTTGGAAAAAAAAACTAAAAAATACAGCTATATTCATGTATAAATATAACATAGGTAAATTAATTTATCATACAAAAAATTTACATAAATACCACTAAATTCCTATGTATTTATATATCTAACACCTACATAGATACCACCTTATGCATGAAAAAGTGTATTTCACTTTTTAAAAGTTAAAATAATGGCATTTTTTATGTGATACTAAAGATTTGGGTGTTATTAATGTAAAATAAGAGTTTAGATGTTAGATATGTAAATAAATAAGAATTGTGTGATATGCAAATACACCATACACATATTAAAGTATACAGTGCGGTCTATATTTATGGACAATCCACAAGATTCGGCAACATGTTCCTCTGACTTCCTATATTTATGGATCTACTTAACAAACTACATAGCCATCATGGACTCCAAGGCTCCTTAAGAATGACAAAAAGAGAAGTATTAGCAATAATCCTCTATATTTTATCACAGAAAAAATCAATGAGAGAAGCGATTGAGCGATTTCAGCATTCATTGGAGACAATTAGCAGATATTTCTCAGTGAGTTTGAAAGCTCTTGTTAGTTTGTCGGCACAGATTATTAAGTCAGATGATTCAACATTCAGGACGACCCCAACAAATATTGCGAATGACCGGCGATATATGTCATTTTTTAAAGTAAATCTATTTAACAAATTACAATCAGAAGTCAAAATGAGTTACGTGCTTAGCACAACTTTATTTAATTTGTCAGAACTGTATTGAAACGATTGAAGACACCCACGTGGATGCATGTGTAGCCAATAATGAAAATGTCACATTGAAGAGTGTGGATCGCTCACACAAAATGTGATGGACGTACGTGACTTTAACATGTGTTACTTTTGCGATGGCTGGTTGGAAAGACAGTGCACAAGTAGTCGTATTTTTGCATTCGCGACAAAAAAACCGAAGACATGTCTTCCCTCACCCACCTTCAGGTTTGTCAAGCAATCAACCACAGTCATTTTTTTCTTTAACTTTTTTACTAATTATTGTATTTAGGACATGCCAATATTACTTAGTCGATGCTAGATATCCCCTACATATAGGGTATTTAAAGTCATTTCCTAATACAAAATATCACATTACTGATTTCAAAAGATCTAATGGTGCTGCTCGGGGCAAGAAGGAAATGTTTAATAAAAAGCGCTCCTCCTTACGCGGCGGCGTAATTGAAAAAACGTTTAGAGTATGAAAAAAGAAATGAGTCATTCTGCATGATATGTCAACGTATTTATTTTTGAAACATGTGCATATTGTTGTTTTGAATGACATAATTTAGACCCTTAACGATGGGGTTTGATTTTTCTGTTTGCATTTTTTTTTAGGAAGGTTTACATACATACCATTCAATTTTAATGTATTTACATGTCTAACACGTAAGCTATAATAGTTAGTTGTTACATATATGCCCTCTTCTTTATGCTTGAAAATGTTTATTCATTTTTTGAAGCTAAAACAATGGTATTTTTTATGTCATGTAAAAGGAAAGCAAACTCTTTCAACCTCATTCTCCTTCTTCCCTTTTCTCTCAAGGCTGATGCATCTAACACATTCTTCTCTTTTCTTTATAACCGTCTCCATTGCTTCTCCCCTTTGCTTTCTTCTCAACCCATTCTGAGCTGGAGCAGAACAGAATATGTATTTTTATTGCTTTCTTGTTGATATTTCTATTTCTGTTCTCGCTAAACTTAGATCCTTCTCTGTAATCTTTGTGTTGAGTTATATGTCTGTGAGCAGATTCAATAGCGCAGTTAAAAAACAGAGATGACAAAATTGATGTAGTTATTTGAAAACTTGGAAGTGAAGTTTTTAATTTATTTGATGTTAAAAAAGATATCTTTTTTGCATAATCTATTGAGAAGATTTGTGCTATCGATTTCTCTCATGCCGCATATGGTTAAGGTTGATTAATAGCTTCTAACGCATATTCTAATGAAAAAGTTTTGATTTTGAGCAGCTCCAGATCCTTCATAGACGCCTGCAAGTCTTCAGTGGCTCTTCTCCTGATTTTAAAGAAAAGGGATTCTTTTTCCCTGCTTTCAAAGTATCGGAGGGCATTGCCTGTTCTGCATATAGTGGACATTCTCTCCGTTAAATGAATTTTGAAAAGTTGAATATAGAGTTGAGACTTGGAGGTTTATTCAGCATTAGAGCGCACAGCAGCGGATTTATGGAAAACAGGGGAATGAAGCTGCCATTGTCAGCGAAATTAGAAGTCGAAAACAGAGCTTATGAAAGTTGTTTGAGTTTTATAGATTTTCTTTTTTCTTTGAAAAGCAGTTGATCAGTAATAGATCGGTAAAATAAAGTTGTCAGAAAATTTTTATTACAGATGATGTGTAGAAATCGGGTTCATTTCTTCTAACACCCAAGTTATAATTTGTAATTTTTAAATTTGTATTTTAATAATTCATTCAATAAAAAAAAGGTTCAATTTTTGTTTGTCTATTTAACTTCTTGTTTTTCATATCAATAATTAATTTTGTTCCAATGAAGTTTTTGAGCCGGCTCAAGCTTGGATTTTGAGCTAGCTAAATCAAGTTTTCAAGCCGGATCGATCCAGCTCACAAGCCAAAATGACATTCGAGCGGAGCCAAAATGGCATTCGAGTAGGCTCATTTACAGTTCGGGCCGGATCGTAAATCTTCCGATTTTGTTCTGCATCGGATCGAAATTAACATGACTCGAGCCACGAACCGATTCTGATCCATTTAATATAATTTTGATCTGATTTCGAGCCGCCCCTGGATCGGCTAGAAATCGAATCGTTCGCAGCTCTATCGGATACAAGATTCTACATATCTGGCTTTGAGAGAGTTAGCAAAATCACGCGGAGCAGGGGATAAATGTTCAAAAAAGGACACTCGTCCATACGCAATGTCATTGAGGGACATTTGAAGTTTGAAAGAAAAAAATGGGTTATACTTCGCGATATATCAACTTATGCATTTCCCAAAAAGATTCAAATTCTGATTGCTACGATGACTCTGCACAATTATAATCAGCGACATCCTTACCCTAACGATATTAATTTTTGTAGAGTGGATGAGGATCATTTACATGTTCCAGCTAAGGAGCATAAATATCATATTGGACAGTCTTTGTCACAGGCATAAAAAGATGTGCCCGAAACCTGCACTTAAGATGAGGAAGGAACAAGCGAGATGGCGAGTTGAAGGAACAAATTACAGATGCAATAGTTGGATGTTGATTAAAGGGTACATTAGTTTTTATTTCTTTTTATTATAATGGTTATTGAAAACATTCACTATTTCTTGTATTCATATTTTATACAATTGCATTTGATATTTATTGCATCAGTTTTTTATGCAAGTAATATGTACTTCATTTCTTTTGCATATATTTTTCTCTCACTTGGGATGTCGATGAGACAACAGTGGGCAATATATGTAACATAAATATTGCTCATTTTTTTTGTGGGGTTTGGAGGTCTATGATGAGGCGTTTGACCTTATGAGTTCTTCTGAATGGCCTGTATGTTGTAATTGATTGGTGTCACATGTGAAATATTGATAAAGACAACCAAATTCCTTTCCTTTTTCAGTGTTATGGTTTTTGATATTCTTTTGGATGGTCTTTTTTTGGTGATATGCATATGTGACACACATGAGATTAATATTACATGAGTTAAAGACAACCGAGAATCTCATTTTATATAAGGTTTGTTGTCTTCTTGTAATGACAAAATTTATTAGTATATCAGGTTCTCTGAGAACTCACTGTTGCATAAAACTTTAATTAATTACTTTTGTTATTAACTTTTACTTGTGTTATATCTAACAGTATCTGTTTTTAAGCCCTTAGAAAAGATTAGCTAGAAAATTTTCAATACCTCCAGAAGATTGCACTGTTATTCTGGACTACATTGTTCCATGTTTACTTCGCAATTCACATAGCTACGTGAGAGTTTTATAGGTGTCCAAGGAGAAGAATAGAAAACTGCGACTTCATTGGGTGGGTAAATAGATTGGAGGATTCCAATTCCGAAAGTATAGGGCGTGGAGAGTTTTCTTGGAGGACGGCTTATCTCGTGACGTACACTAGCTGCATTTTGAAAATAATATATCATATTATTGATTGTTATTTTAGTAATTTTTTTTTAATTTTATGTTATTCATTGTTTAGTGAGATGACTATTTTTATTTTGTAATGTTTAAACTGAATATTTGTTTTAAATATGAGATGAGCTAGTATTAACAGTTTTGTTGTAAGCAAAATTACAATACAGTGACAAAATGATCATTTGTCCAGAAACAGCTGCAACACGACTGCTTTCAAACTGCAAAAAAAAACAGACAATCAGCTTATCCGCAACAGTTTCTAAGCAGCAGCTTCCTACCAAAGCTGTTGTGTAGCTACTTATTAATAAATTGTAACAGCCCCAAACAAACCCTTAATATCAAGTTCTGCCATGGAATCAGCACAAGCTCAGGTTTTGCACTTGCCTAGCTTTAAACAGACAAAACACAGATTCTTGTCTTGACTTAAATATACTGACCATGACCCTCATTATCATCATTAAGGGGCTATTTGGACTTTCGTTTTTTATTTTCTTATTTTATTTTATTTTATTCATATTTTTAGTTGAAATAACACATGTTTAGCATATTAATTAAGATACGGTTGTTTTTAAAAACACTAAAAATACCTAAAAGTTTTTTTTTAGTACTTTCAAAAACATGTTAATTTGTTTTCAGAAAAAAAAAAAGAAAATACTAAACAAAGATTTAAAGAAAAAATAAATGAAAAAAAAAATTGATTCCAAACAAGCTCTATGCTTTTTTGTAGCATGCTAAACATGAACATGTCTTAACTAAATTAAAATTATGCCTAGACAAGAAAATAAAATCAAACATGGAAAGAAAAAATTCCACAACTAGGAGCACAAATTAAATAAAATTTAATTTGAACAATAGGAACAAAAACTTAAAAACAAAAACACAAGTTCACGCTCTGTTTGTGACAAAAATAATTAAAATACATTGATCAAATGAAAGTTAAACTAGATCTAGGCATAATGAGCATAATAAAAAGCATTAAAGTGAAAGCAACCATATATCGTAGAGAATAAGAGTTCTAACCTGGATGCGTGCCCCTGAAGTAGTTTGCATGTTTCTGATAGTCTCACCACCTTTGCCGATAATCAGACCAACCTGGAAATTTAAAAAATTTCATATCATGATGAATGAAGATGATATGAGCATAATAACAAGAAAAGGGGGCATTCAACAACAGTAATTACTATAGTTTTCAACCTTATTGTTTGGAACTTTCATAGAAAAATGCTCAGCACCAGTAGTTGTGATAGTAAACTTCCGCGCAGAAATAATGCCAGAGCCACCAGCTTCAGCCTTTACAATTTATAGATAATGCATTAAAGTGAATGGAAATTACATACATATCACACAATTCTTATGTATTTACATAACTAACACACAAAGTATGACATTTACACTTATAACACCATTGTATCATAAACCTATGCATGAAAATTGTGCATTTCACATTTAAAAATGTAGTGAGGGTGGTATTTTTTGAAGTGATGCTAGTAACTTGAGTGGTATGCATGTAAATATGAATGTTTAAGTGTTAGGTATGCAAATGCATAAGAATTGTGTGATATGCATGTAAATGCCCGTAAATTAGCCCAACAAATTAGAAAACCTTTTCATTTAACAACCCCTACCTCAGCAAGCACTTCATTGATCAACTGCTCAGCCTTGCTAATTTGGTCAGAAGTACCAATAAGTTCTACAGTTCTACTCTGTGAATGAGGATCAGCATCCATATCTCTAGTTACTTGAATTCTAGCTCCAGATTGCACCTGAAGATATTTGATTGTCTCTCCACTTTTACCAATAATGACACCAACCTGTCCAAAATTATGAAAGAGGATCATTCCCGAAACTGACACAACACTCTAAGGGGTTGTCTCATTACAGATTTAAGTCAGAAAAAATAAGAAAATTTAAATCCTGAATCTAGTCAATCCAATTTCTTCTCAATTCCTCTCAATTTCATTTTAAATCCCTGATTTACTAAATCCTAATGTTGGAATAATTTAGTAAATCGGAATCGGATTTAGAGGATTTCGTAAAACTGTTACCAGACAACCACTCAAAAAATGGAAATAGAAGGAGAAGGGATTTTTAGAAAGATTAATACCCGTCCATTAGGAATATCAATTTTCTTGTTTGACCCAGCATAACCATAAGAGGCAAAAGATGATGGTGTGTTCACACCACCTTGCGATGCTAATGGCTGGCCAAAAGAATTATGCGATTGATCTAATACACGAGCAAAAAGAAATTTTCAGTGTTAAATGGATCCAGAGATACAGAAAAAAAATGCTCAACACATATTGCCAACTTTAGGCGCATAAATCAAGTAACCAAACAATACTATTCAAGCAAGCCATCGAGTGTGATTAATGGAAGAATTGCAAGCAGCATCGAAGCAAACCAAGCATGAATGAAGTAAAGGACCCCGCCACATATTTAAAAACTATAAAGAACCAAAAGGTGAACATGATAACAAAAGAAGAACGGCAAAAAGAAATTGAAAAAAAAACAGTGACTACTTTGACATTTATGCATTGAAACCTATATATGTATTCTATCAAATGCTTGCCACGATATCACAAACTATGAGTAAAATTGAAGTCAACTCCTGCGCTGACAAGAGCTCGGCTCGATAAATGACTCAAAATTGAGCTCAATGACCAGCCAAGTTTAAATCAGCCCCAACTCAACTAGTTAACTCGTGAGCCAACTAATTTTAAAAACACTTAAATATAAAATATATCAAAATATATTAAAACGTACAATGCACAAATACTTCAAATTAGAGAGTCATGACGTGTCGGACGCATATCGAACACGAACACCAACACAAGCGCCAACATGGCATAAAAATGTCCGATTTAAACAATATTTAACTAATAATAATACGTGTGTTTTATATTAATAAATTAAGAATTTCTTAAAAGAGACTTTTAAAATTAAAATTTTAAAAAATATTTTGACGTAAATTTTAAGGAAGATTTACATACATAAACTCAATTTTTATGGCTTTATATATCTAACACCTAAATTTCAATTTCAATATTTTTCTAAAACCTCACATTGTATTTCACTTTTTAAAAGTAAAAATAGTGGTGTGGTATATTAGATGTGATATGGTGATATGAAGATTTGGGTGGCATAAATATAAAAATCAAAATTTAGGTGTTAGATATGTAAATAAAAAAAATAGATACCAAGAAAGCCATTGATCATTTTTTTAAATACATAGTTAATTAAGACAACTTAAATCTTGATGTAGTATAAGATAGTATATGCTTATTTTGTGTGTATTATAAACTAAACAATTTTGAAAGTTAATGCAATTAAATTTATTATTTCCTCTTTTGTATTATCCTTAATATTTAGTTTATTTTATTTTAATGTTTTATTAATAATTTTTATTATGATGGTATGTCTGACATGTGACTACATCTTATATTTGTAATAATAAACATGTCTCGTGTTAATGTTAGATTGCATCGCTGTGTCTGTATCCATGCAAAATAGATTAAAATTCAAGACTTGATCTTTGAATTATTAAGAATATCAAAAAAATAATACTTTATATTTTATATCAAGTATTTATTTTATTATTTATCCCTTAATTACTCGTTCTATTTATCATTTTATTATAACACTAGCTTGAATTAATAGTATTTTTTCTCTTTCATAATAAACAAGCTCCAGTGGCTCGCGAGCTGACTTTCACTCCTAGAATTAAGCTCAAGAAAAAGCTCGAACTTGGTTAACTAATCAAGTTCAAGCTCAAGCCAAAGATGTTTCTCGCTTGACGCAGATCGTTTACACACACAAAGACAGCAAAAATCACAAAAGATGCTCTAAAGTATGTTGTGGAGCATGATCTCAAACAAAACATCAGCAGTGGCCAAACTGACACTCGTATTGAAATTCTCGATCTATATACACTGCCCCGGGGATATAAACGCTAAGAAAGGTCAGAAGCCGATTAAAGTCAACAAAAAGGAAAAGCAGAGGAGGATACCAAAATCAAACCCCTTGTTGCTAGAATCTTCAGCACCGCCCTCGTTCTCAACTTTAGGTCGCTTAGCCTCGGCGTCGCTGAAAATCCTTGCAGCGATCTCTTGCGCCCGTTGCTTGGCTAGCTGGATTCCATCGGGAGGGGGCGGGACACTATTATAGGAAGCTGGGGCTGTTGTATCCGAAGGAGAGACGATAGGTGCCGAGAAACCGGTGGATCTGCGACCTGAAGTTGGAGCAGCAGCAGGAGGGGTGCCTTGGTCGTCGAACTTCCGTTTGTGGTCAGAGCGAGAGGAATAGTGAGAATCATCCACCATTGGAGCGATCGGAAGCTCTCTCCGTTGAGAGGGATGGGTAGGATAGAAATGGAGAAGGGAAGAAGTATCGCCGACGACAACAAAAACCCTAAAGTCGAAGGGGTTTGAACAAATTGGTGTTGATATTTCTCTTTTTTGCCCTTTGGAACATCTAAAATTATATTGAATATCTGGACATTAATTAGAACATAACTAAATTTTGGAGTTTGGGCAAATTTGTTATTTTCTTATTTTTTATCTCTTATTTTTTTAGTATAAACAATTATAGATAAGATAATTTTAATTATTATTTTGTAGATAAATTTAAAGCTGGGCAATTATTTTATCATTCGAATTAAGTGGATTTTAAATAAAATCAGATAATCATCATTCACATTAATTGGTTTAATTTTTTCTTCTAATAATTTAAATATTAAGAATTGATTTATTTAATTTAATTCAATTGCCTTTATTTGTAAATATTTATAAAATTTATGTAAATTTTAATTGATTTGTCTTTATTTTATATAATATTTAGTCTGTTAAAATAAATTGATATAGATAAATATCGATTCTAAATTAAATAAAATTAAACCAAGCCAAATTGAAATGCCCACCAGCTCTTGCAATGACAATGGATGACACCTTTGATTCTATGATTATGCTCTTCAAGCTGTAAAATGGTCTGCAATAAGTTCTAAATGCCTACTTTAATCCACCTAACCAATTCAAAAAGTTAGCCAAAACAAATCATTTGTTTGACCTCAGGGTAGCCTAAGGATGCATCTTGTTGACGAAAGTGGAGTCCGGTCCACTATTTCGATTTGACAATAATCTCTTATGACAAAATATTTAATTGTTAATTAAATATTTACTTTCTTAAGGATTTCCCTCCAAACAAATTGCCTAAAAAGCTTAATGTAGAATCTCGTGAGATCTTGGAAATCTTCCTCTTATTTACTTAATTAGTTTCGTCTAGTTCTTATAAAAGGCTAAACCCACTTACTCTCCAATATATCCCACGAAATCCTCTTCAGTTGAAGCTTAAATGAAAAGGAAAAAGAAAACCTTTTGCTTTCGGTTTCTTTTCTCCGGCTTAAAAGAAAAAACTATTTCTTATATTCCTTTCTTGTGGCTTTAAGAGAGAGGAAGGAGATGTGAGGAAGGGGAGAGAAAAAAAGAAAGAGATTGTTCTTTCTTGTAAACCTCGATACGTTCGACGGTGTAATTCATCGAAATAATAAAATCCTCTGTAGTTCTGTGGACGTAGGCAATTTGTCGAACCACGTAAATCTTGTGTTATCTTTTTTCTGGTGCAATTTTTTATCTATTTTACGCTTTATTGTCGTCGTTTTTCATAACAATTGGTATTAGAGCTTTGGTTCAGATCTAAGGAAGGAGGATGGGTGGAGACGAAGTGATGGCATTGGGGATCAAAAAGTTCAATGACACGAATTTTAGTTACTTAAGGAAGCAGATAGAGGACTGCCTCTATGAGAATAAACTTCACCTGCCGTTACTGGGTAAGAAACCGGAAAAGATGGATGAGACTAAATGAAATCTGTTAGATCGACAGGTTCTAGGGGTTGTTCGATTAACACTGTCAAGATCCATTGTTCATAGCGTCATCAAGGAGAAGACTATTGTAGATCTCATGAATGCTTTATCAGGCATGTATGAAAAGCCATCAGCGAATAACAAGGTGCACCTGATGAAAAAGTTATTCAATCTGAAGATGGTGGAAGATGTGTCCGTTGCTCAACACCTGAATGAGTCAATTATCGTCCGTTGAAATTGATTTTAATGATGAGATACATGCACTGATATTGTTGGCTTCGTTGTCAAATGCTGGAAAATTATGAGGATGACAGTTAGCAGTTCTGCAGGTAAATCTAAACTGAATATGATAATATTCATGATTTAATTTTGGCTGATGAGGCGCGTAGAAAAGATTCTATCGGGTTCGAATTCGGCACTGGTTGTTGATTTCAGATGGAGATCATGGAACAATAACTCAAACAGAGGAAGATTAAAATCAAAGTATGGTCAGCAGACAACCTGCTGGAATTGTGGCAAGGCTGACCACATAAAAATAAACTGTATGAATCTCAAGATGGAGAATGATGGCGCTAATATTATAATTGAAGAAATACATGATGTGCTATTGCTGGCGGTTCACAGTTATGTTGATTATTAGATACTGGATTTAGGGGCTTTCTTCCATACATCTTTCCACTAGAAGTTAATGTGGAACTATGTTGCAGAAAATTTTGGGAAGGCATATTTGGCTGATGGAAAAGCTCTGGACATGGTGAGGATGAGTGACGTTGATATTGCACTCCCTAACAAGAGCAAATGGACTTTGCAAAAAGTAAGGCACGTTCCTGAGTTCAAGAAAACCCTCATTTATGTTGGGCAGCTCAATGAGGGTGGTCATTCAGTAATATTCTCATATAGTACTTGGAAGGTTACTAAATGAGCATTAGTATTGGCTCGAGGTAAGAAAACTAACACACTGTATATTACTACAGATTCACTAAGGCGTTGACACGTGAGCTAGAGGTGCATTATGAGGCAGTAGAAGAAAGTCAGAGGTGGCAGAGCGCTAAAGGCAGGAAAACTGACTCTTGTATGAATAGATGGGGGAGAACCACAGAGCTATGAAGAAATTTTACAAAATGAAAGTTCGAGCAAGTGAGAGATGACATAACTTTCACTCGAAAAGAAGGAATTGCATAACAAGTGGGTGTACTAGGTGAAAACTGCGTTTGATGGCAGTAAGAGGTACAAGGCTGGACTTATTGAAAAAAAAACTTTTAGCTGAGGAAGGATATTGTCCATGCAGTGAGAGTTGTAAGCAGATTCATAGTCACCCAGGAAAGAGCTTATAGTACAAGACTACATTGACGTTGATATGCCAACTAAAGGTATTACTCTTGAGAAACTAAAGTTATATGCAACTTCAGTTGACCTTCTAGCATGAAGGCAAAAGCTTTGAGTTGCAAAGGTGGAGGATATCACTTTTGAAGAAAAGGGCGATGAGGTTAGTGGATGGTGTAGCTAGCGTCCCATTCTTCAAGTGGGAGAATTATTAAGGAAAGTGGAGCCCGATCCACTATTTAGATTTGACAAGAATCTGTTATGACAAAATATTTGATTGTTAATTAAATATTTACTTCTTTAAAGATTTCCCTTCAAGTCAATTGCCTGAAAAGCTTCATGCAGAATCTCGTGAGATGTTGGAAATCTTTCTCTTATTTACTTAATTAGCTTCGTCTGCTTCTTACAAAAGACTAAATCCACCTGCTCTCCAATAAATCCCACAACCTCCTCTTCAACTGAAGCTTGAAGGAAAAGGAAAAGGAAAAAAGAAAAGCTTTTGCTTTTGGTTTCTTTTCTTTAGCTTAAAGAAAAAAAATATTTCGTGTTCCTTTTTCGTGGCTTTGAGAGAGAGGAAGGAGAGGTGAGGAAGAGAGAGATTATTCTTTCTTGTAAAAGTCGAGACGCTCGACAGTGTAATTCCTCGAAGTGATAAAATCCTCTGCAGCTCCGTGGACGTAGGCAATTTTTTGAACCACGTAAATCTTGTGTCGCATTTTTTTGGGTGTAATTCTTGATATATTTTTCACTTTATTGTCATTGCTTTTCACAACACATCTTTTATAGGGCAAAATGTAGGTGTAGTTGTTTGTGGCTTTGTGCATGATATCTGGGAGCTAATAACCTGGTGGATGTCTAATAAGTTGAGTAAATTAGGTGCAAGGCTCAAAACTTCACCTATGTCAAGTTGGTGACCAAGGCGCTCCTGACACGACAAAAGCCACGTAAACGAGCATCATGACGACTGTTTGATCAGGAGCTACCTTCAAGAACCAAGTTGTATGATACCATGACTCAACCATAGTAGTCATAGCATCGCTAGCGTGTTTTAACGCCATGTAGAACCTATAATGCTTTGTGTTGAATTAGAATAGCCCGAGGGCCTAAAAATAGTAGAGTGTCACAGCCCTAGACTCGACACTATGGCGCTGATGAGGTATCATTCCTGCCACATCATTGATCACTTCAAGCTTCGATTACCACAAGAAAATAATTAATTAAATGTTAAGGTGTCGAAATAAATTTTTTGTAGATATTCACTTTACCTTTCTTGCTAAGAGACTCAGTGTCATAAAATATGTTGTATTGAGTCAAAATAGAGATATAACACATACATTATTCATAAGGTACATGATTTCTAAAATATCTCTCTTTATGGGGGCAGAAAGGTACCTGTAAAAAAAAATCACTACGCGACTTTTATGGGTTAGTTAGCCACCCGCCTCTTGTGTTATCGATCGTTGCTCCACCTATCCCATCCTCGTAACTACGATCATAGAGAGAATGTTGGGTTGCTTTTTCCCATCTCTCGAAGACGTTTGTGCCATTGAGTCAGTATATCTTAATATCACTCAATATGGTCAAGATGGCTCGTGATGGAATCTAGCTACTCCATGAGGAGTCCATCTTTTGGTTGAGCCCGGTAAGGTTCTCCCATAGCGTGCAACTGTATCAGGGTAGAGGAATGTTGTGAAACACCACAATACAAGTGAGCCAAACGTGTAAACCTAAGCTTCTTAGGGGCGACAACTCCTCACACGAAACGAGCAACGAAATTAGCAGTCTCATTTGCTCTAATCATTCTCTGGAGGTTGAAAAGAACAACGACCATTTTATGGCGTCGTTCGTGAGCAAGCTATTGCAATGAAATCTTCAGAATAAAAATGTATTGTAAAATTGTTAAATCCTGAAACAAATGCAAAGTAAGAAATATGGATTTAACATAACTGAGTTTATTAAATCCAAATTTACTGGATCGGATTTAGTAAATCCTACTTAAGTTAAATCCAAGGGGTGTTTGGCTTCCCCTTTAGTGAATTCATCTATTCAGCCCCGAGATACTTATGATGCCCAATCACTATAAGAGAGAATAATGGTATGTGTTAAGTATATTTTATAGCTACTAATAGTTTCTTTTGTTATAATGCATAATAAAAAAATTAAAATTTTTAATTATGAAAATGAATTAATGATACGATGAGATCGTTATGTTAATTATTCATTCGTAGCAAAGACCATAATATTGAGAATCATGAT